CGCACTGCCTGTACTGTTGAAAATATCACCGCTGTCGAAGACATAATATTGACCTAAAAAAGATGCACTACGCACCCATCACAATGTCCGGGAGATTGCACGGGAGTCTGACAATTAATGACTTGGATAAACGTTGCCTAATTTCTGTGCATGCTAATTAAGTTAGCAAGTTATACAATTTAAGCATTCTGTCAATTTTTGGGGTTATTATTATTTAACAATGTAATGCAGTGATATAAATCAGGTGAGGTGAAAAACGTATACATATCACATAATTTTAGCTATTTCCCATCTAATTACAAAATATAATTAAAGTTAGAGGTATTTTGTTGAAATTCTGACAATATTATTTTTGTTTAAAGGACACCTATGATGAAAATCAACCTTCGGAAGTTGTTTGGACAGAACTGTTTGCAGGTATAGTGTGTTCACTGTCCTATTGGAGTGATACAAACACCAAAAGTCTTTTTTTATTTGTTTCATGACATTAAAATAGGATTCCAGTGATTTTGAGGACCACCACAGCATAATGTAGGAGTGCGGTTTTCCCCACCCACCAAATTGATTGACCGGTGGCATGTTTCTATAATAAAAAGTATACATGTTAATGTCCACAGGAAAATTTTTCCAAAGAACGCATGATTTAAACATGTTACAACTCTCTGTGATGAGCTGCACCTTAAGAATTACTTTTACAAGTTAAAAACCTTTTAAACCAGTGCATGTTTGTAAAAAAAAAAAAGTAAAATCATCAATAAACACCCATATGTGTGTGTTTGTGAGTACTGCAAATGCCATTTGTGTGTGACTCATCTTTTCAGAAAGGCTTAAATAAACTCCACCACAAACACATCAAATAAACTTACTTGGTATTTTTGACTAGTGACCCTTTTTCAGCTTCATTTGTGTCTGTCTCTGTCACTGACTGATGTTTATCTGAGGCAACGCATGAGAAGCAGACCCTCACATCGGAGCGGTGGGCAGGGTGAAGCAGCTCGTTTAGATTTAAAGCCACAGGCTACAAGCTACAGCTTGTCTTCAAAAGCTACAGTCTTTATACTAAAATGGGCAGATTCTACATTATAGAATAAATAATCTGATGGGTATTTTGAGCTGAAACTTTAGAGACACATTCTAGGACACCAAAGTCTTATCTTGCATCTTCCAAAAGAGGCAAAATAGGTGACCTTTAAGTTTTTAAAACAGAATTTCAGAGAAAAAGGGTGACGTGTTGGCGCAGTTGGTATGCTGTTGTCTCACAGCAAGAAGGTCGCTGGTTCGAGCCTCAGCTGGGTCAGTTGGCGTTTCTGTGTGGAGTGTGCATATTCTATCATGTTCTATGTGAATTGGGTAGGCTAAACTGTCCGTAGAGTATGCGTGTGAATGTGTATGAATGTTTCCTAGAGATGGGTTGCAGCTGGAAGGGCATCCACTGTATAAAGCATATGCTGGATAAGTTGGCGGTTTATTCCGCTGTGGCGACCCTCAATTAATAACCCTCAATTAATTATTGGGACTAAGCCAAAAAGAAAATGAATAATGAATGAATTAATTTCAGAATAACATTTCTCAAATAATAAATGAATAAAAACATTCTCAAATAAATATAAAAGTAAAACCCCAATCTCATTTTAATAATCTAAGAATATATTTACAAATTAGCAGTGGATGATATGATTTTTAAATAAATTAAAAAAGCTATTTATTAAACATATACTGCGTGCTTAAAATAATTCTGCTCCTGAAAATTGTGTTTAGGTTTTGCTCAAAAAGATGTTTTCAATGTCTTAGCTGCTTATATCTTCATAGATTATTTCCTTTTTTTCTTTTTGACATTTTGAACACAGTTTTAATTTGATAAGAGCATGTGAAATTTCACACCCCTTTTTGTTTCACCAATTTAACACAATTTCACAACAGAAAGCCAGACAAAGTTACTGAGCAAATGGCTGATTTTGTGTTTGAGCTCTGCGACCTCTGTGAAATTTGAGTATCCATCACACAAAACAAAGGGAAATTTAAAGATCCCCATTCCTCCAGGAACACGCCGATATGATGACCGCATTTCTACATTCAGCAGGGGACGAGCAGGAAATTTATTCTTCCAAACTAATGTAATACTTGTGAAGAAATTTCCTGCCAAGTCTTGAATTCTGAGCACCCGTGCAGGACGCCTTCGCTGCCCGAAAAAGCAGAAACATGAGAAATATAATATGAGGTGTGCTCTGAATGCAGAATAGTGGAGGAAATAAAGCCGTGACAGTTCTGAAAACAGAGACAGCGGAACCTGATGATCTGGGCATGCTAATGAATTCAAGCGCAGGATATTTAGTAGCTGGATGTAGGTGAGGATGAGCCGGAGTAATGCGCCGGTGTGTTTTGATGCAGTAAGCGTGAGCGGCGCATGCATTTTTAATGGATGCTTTTTACTGTCCCAGTGTGTTTGGCAGGGACGGGTGTGATTTGTCATCATTGAGGACTGCAGTGGTCTTTCTGTGAGTGTAAGAGAGTCTGTGTGCTTGTGTGTCTTTTCAGCAAAATAAAGATGTTATTGAGAAAGCTGCAAGCTGGACAGATGAGTGAAAGCAGAACTAAAAGAGTGAAGGATATATATGGTTTGAGTTTTTGACTACCATGGCAATTTATTTTACATCTAAATTGTGAAATTATGCTGAAATGAAACACAGCAAAATCAATATTTATTCACATTTGAGTTTTGAAGTCAAGTCTCATGTTTTATTTAATTTGATGTGTGGCTCATAGAGCAGTGGTGCAGTAGGTAGTGCTGTCGCCTCACAGCAAGAGGGTCGCTGGGTCAAAACTCGGATCTCGTTTCTGTGTGGAGTTTGCATGTTCTCCCTGCATTCGCGTAGGTTTCCTCCGGGTGCTTCGGTTTCCCCCACAGTCCAAAAACATGTGGTACAGGTGAATTGGGTAGGCTACATTGTCCGTAGTGTATGAGTGTGTGTGTGGACAGTGTTTCCCAGAGATGGTTTGCAGCTGGAAGGGCAACCATTGTGCTGGATAAGTTGGCGGTTCATTCTGCTGTGGCGACCCCGAATTAATAAAGGGACTAAGTCGACAAGAAAATGAATGAACGAAATGTATAATAATAATAATGATGATGATGATGATGATGATTTTAGTATTTTAGTATTATTATTTCTTAAATATAATAATTATTAAATTTATTATTATTATTATTATTATCATAAAGTGTATATTCATACGGTAACGCAGTGGTGCAGTAGGTAGACTTTCACAGCAAGAAAGTCGCTGGGATGCTAGTTTGAGCCTTGGCTCAGTTGGCGTTTCTGTGTAGAGTTAGCATGTTCTCCCTGCATTCGCGTGGGTTTCCTCCGGGTGCTCGGGTTTCCTCCACAGTCCAAAGACATGCGGTACAGATGAATTGGGTAGGCTAAATTGTCCGTAGTGTATGAGAATGTGTGTGAATGTGTGTGTGTGTGGATGTTTCCCAGAGATGGGTTGTGGCTGGAAAGGCATGCGCTGCGTAAAAATGTGCTGGATAAGTTGGCGGTTCATTCTGCTGTGGTGACCCCGAGTTAATAAAGGGACTAAGCCGACAGGAAAATGAATGAATGAATGTATATTCGTACACTTTTGCTAAATATAGTATTACATAGTGTAATACTTTACATATATTTGCACATATTTTTATAATTTGCAGAGTGTGTTAATATATTTGAAAAATAAATGTAGTATATTTAAAACAACAATAACAAAATAAAATAAAAACTATGTCTACATTCTGTTTTTTTTCCATAATGCTACAATAATACTTTTATTACTGTAAAATTTACAGTATGAAAAGAGATATAATTTAAGGGTTGTCTTGTCTTCATAAAAAATCTTACACAATTTGCATAAATGCAGCCCAAAAAAAATCCACGATGGAAGTGTGTACCATATCCCTGCATCGAAACTGTTTCATAATTCCATATCTAGTGAAATGACATTCTAGCAGAATCGTCCCTGTTTTCAAGGTCAAGCCTGTTTTTAAATCGCATTTCGTGGTCTCGATCAGCTGAAATTGTATTTGTTTTGTCTTGGTTGAATTCACAGACTAAAACAAATGAATGTATAAAAACAGCAGAAAAAAAAGTAAAAATAGCCCAATTCTGCAGGATCCCAGTGGATTTGGCAACCCTGATGATTACCTGCCTGGTAGATTTATATTTCGCTTTCTCACGCACGCACGCCCGTACACGTACACACGTACACACACACACACACACACACACACACACACACACACACACACACACACACACACACACACACACACACACACACACACACACACACACACACACACACACAAAAAAACTGACATTTTGTATGGACTGAGTGAATTAAACTGCCCTAAAATCTAGAAATCACATGCAGTCTGTCAAGATTCCTAGTTTGCCAGTGAAAATTAAATAAAAAAAAAAACACAAAACTGGGCGGAAAAAAAGACTATTGTGGTCAACTGCTAAGAAAATGTGAACGATATTGTATTTGTCATTGTAACCGCAGGCCCTGTTGATAGTCTTGACACTGGGAGAATGTTACAGGCAAAATGAAGTTGAGGAAAACCAAAGAAAAAAAAGCTTCAGGTCTAGAACCTTCAGGGCTGCGTCACTTTTCTAACCAAAGCTTCGGAGATGCCAGTGTGCGCAGTGTCCTTGCCCGGGGTGACAGTTAACATTTGGATCAGCTAACAGTGCCTGGGGTGACCACGGGGCCTCTGCCTGCCTGTTTTTTTTTTTTTGGGGGGACGGAGGAAACACATGGATCTGTAGGTCAGCTTGAAACTAGATGTCGCAGGCCTGCAGCTGAAGGCAACATCTGGGTTACTAGGTCACCCACAGCAAAGCAGAGACCCCTGACTTGCCCTAAAGAGACGTCAGCTGCACCCTTCACCTCTCGCAAGGGCTGACATGAGGAACAGAGCCCACCCGGCTGGCCTTTCTATATTTCTTGTATGGGCGACTGACCTGCGAGATGTCCATCACCGAGTCACAGCTGAGGGGTCGAGCCGAAGTCAGGTCGTTGAAGCCCAGCAGGGTGGATATGATGCCGTTCTGATCGATGCGGCGGATCATGGTGCCGTCCACAAAGAAGATCACACCATACTTATCCACGGTGATGCCTGGAGACGAGACGAGGAGAATGGATGTTAGATTAGGTGGCAAACACTGCTGGACTGGACAAATTAGAGAAATTTAATCTGAAAATATTAATGATACTGTTAACAGTTTGATAAAAAACACCAACAGTTCATATTCTCATTAGATGAATGATACAAACAAATTTTGGCAATAAAAACTAAATACAACAAAAATCAGAAGGTAGTTTGTCTGAAAATAATGGAAAGCAATGCATAAGCAAAAGTGGAACAAATAAAAAATGACTACTTTTTCTGAAATAGATGACACTGGATATATTGAATGAATGGAAGCAAGAGAAAAAAATGAAGGAAATAAGCCAGCTTTTAATAAACAAAAACAAAACAACACTGTAAAGAATATCTGTTAATTAACAGTTACTGTATTTAGTGATTCACAAGTGTTTTTCCTTTGGTTCTGAATTGCATAGGGACCTTTTGATGTTAACTCAAGGTAGAAAATGTAACTCTTTAGTTTAGCAAAGTGACTTTTATTGACATTTTAGTACTTTGAAATAATATAATGTACACTTGAAGTCAGAATTAATAACCCCCTTGAATTATTAGCCCCCTGTTTATTTTTAAACACATTTCTAAACATAAAAGTTTTAATAACTCATTTATAATAACTGATTTATTTTATCTTTGCCATGATGACGGTAACTAACATTTTACAAGATATTTTTCAAGACACTTCTATACGCTTATTTCACGTGGCCGCCATTTTAAAGAATCAAAGCGAGGCTGCGGTGGGAATAAACCCGGAAGTATAGGTCCAGCACTGTAAACATTGCAGTAACATGCCGTTTACTATAAACCTCCAGCTGTTGCAGAGATTTCAAAATGCAGAAATGGAATAACCATCACTTTAATATTATTCAGTAAGTTTATTTTAAACAATTAAAAGCAATTTAGCATCAAACAAGATCACAATCTCAGTGATACGCTTAAGTGTCCTCCTGGGCTTCAGCTCATGGCACTAGTTAAACACCGTGAGGACGCTTTCCTGCTTCAGTCTATGTAACCCGGTGAGCGATAAACACTACAGTCCTCTGTAGCACACCCTCGTGTTGTCTGTAATAGTGTTGTCCCGGTACTAAAGTTTTAAACCCCGCTATTTCCCCGCTAACATGGAAGCGCCGCTGAGCGCGGATGACTCCACTGATCTTCACGGCTTCGCGCTTCAGTCTCCGTGTATCTGTGTTTGGTTTGCGCTCAGTTTACCGCTCTTCACCCAGTGCAAGCACAGATACACGGACTGGAGCGCGAAGCAGTCGTCAAGATCAGTCGAGTCATCAAGCAGATGGCTCGGCTCGTCTGTGTTTGTGCGCAGTATACAGCGGTGGGTGAACTGATGACCTTCTCGGCCAATTACAAGCATTTCTGTTGAACACGTGACCACAATGGCAAATCAGCGCTGTTTCAAGAAAGCCATCAACATTGCCTTAAATGTTAGCGCGAAATTGCCGGTCTTTCTTTTAATTCAGTATCGTGACGAGTCTAATATAGTGAAAGAATAAGTTTATTAACTCGAGTTTGATGAATAGCATCTAAAACGTGTGTTTGGGAAAGAAAACGTTAGCTAACTAGTGCCATTTCCCATAACTTAGCTGAAAATGAGCTCTGATATCCCTTTTTACATTCACCATTCATTCAGAACGGACCTTCAGGTTACACGGAAGGCGGTAAAATGATAAATTTGTGTCACTTTATCTTCGCTGATAAGATATATAGCCAATTACACAACATTCCTATGTAACTCCCAATGATACTTCCGGGTTTCTTCCCACCGCAGCCTCGATTTCGCTTTTGAAAATGGCGGCCGCGTGAAATCAGTCTATACAGCTTAAAGGGTCAAGAAACACCAAAACACATTTTTTTGAGCTGTTGAGAGTCGTATATGCGTCCCACACTGCTAAAAACAGTATTAGGACACATATTTCACAAAAAAGTGAAAATTGGATGTTTTTGCGTTATTTCGAGCAAATTCGTACTTCTGGTTTGAAACAAATTTTTGAAGCTGCGTCACAGCCATGAAATCTTAACGTGTATTCCAGCATGTAAACTGGACGTCTGTACCTGGTAGTATCGTTTTACGTTTCTGAGTGTGCTGCATTCATTCATGAGTAAGACTTGGTACAAACCAATCAGCGCACTCTATTGTGTATGAGGTGCAACTTCATTAATATGCATGCTAGCTTCCAAGACTGTTTTACCTGAAACAGTGTTCAGACGGCAGAGAGATGACTCGTTGTGTTGCCAAAAGAAGTGGGAAAAAATAAGAATTGTTTCGAGATACAGGTCGTCAGTGTTGCTTTTATAATGTGCTGCAACAAAGGTTTTGTTTTCATTTTCCAGCTCTGAGAGCACAACGAACTCACGTGTGGATCAGTGCACGTGACTCGCGGCAGAAATACATTTGAACGGAACATTTTTTACTCAAGAGCTTTTAGCATCTGGAAATTATGAAATCTGAATTTGCCACTCGTCTCCTTTAAAAAAAAGACGTAGCTCCAGTTGGTGTTGATTGGCCTGTCTCTACAGATTTGGTAAGTGTGTGCGATCAGTGCCGCCCCTTCTTTGTCCATACAGATGGCAAAGTTATAGTTTGTATCGTCAGCAGTACTCTTTCAGTGTTTAAAGACAGAGCTTAGTCAAAATGATTTCTAGGTTACTTAGTTTACGTTAATATCACTACAATATTATGGACTGAAAGATCTGCTGTAAATGCTGCGCTCCGAGTGTAAACATGTAAACACTGCAAGCGAACTATTGCCGACCGTCGTGTTTATTTTTACCGCATTTTGTGACAGGATAGTCTAGACACACACGGCTTTCTGACGTACTGAGTGCATCTGAGTTACCGAGAAATGCAGAGGTTTTTTTCTCTGTTATACATCGTGCGGTATCAAACACTTCTCTGTCATTAAACATAGTCACTGTCTTTCTCCCCTGCTCATGTGTTTGTTTTTCCTTGGTGAAAATCAGCGCATGCCCAAATGGAAACTCCCATTTTTATTCAAATCCTTCCTATTTTCCCTCCCCTGACACTCCTACCTAAACAGAGCTAGACACCCACTTTCCTGACTTTTTCCAAACTAGAAGTGTGAAAACACCCTGCTGAAAAGGGGGGGGGGGGTTCATGGCCCTTTAAAGGGACATTTAAATGCTTAACTTGGGTAGTTAGGTTAAGGCTAGGGTAAAAAAAAAAAAAAAAAAAAAAATATATATATATATATATATATATATATATATATATATATATATATATATCTTGCTTAAAGGGGCTTAAAGGTACTAATTATTTTGTCCTAAAAATGGTTCTTCAAAAATTAAAAACTGTTTTTATTCACGCTAAAATAAAACAAACAATGCTTTCTCCAGCAGAAAAAAAAAAAAATGTCAACAGGCATACTGTGAAAAAATTAAACATAATTTGGGAAATATTTAAAAAAGAAAAAAAAATCCAATGGGGGCTAATAATTCTGACTTCAACTGTATAAGAACTAATATAGAAATAAGTAAAATAACAGAAAAGGTACTGGCAGTTTATTCATGGCAATAGTTTTCTATTGTAATATACAATTTTCCATGATCTGTTGAATGTCTTGATTCTGATTAGCTGAAGGATGTGAATTATTTTCGACAAAATGTACAGGTAGTTCCAGTCAGTTTTGATCACAGTTCAAAATAAATACGCTTCGCCTATACATCTTAGCATAGCAATTCACATGTGCTGCACAAGAAACCGATAAGAGGCTATTAATGGTAGACAGGAAATCTGCCAAATTTAAAATATACTTATCAATAAGGTCACAAAATAAAGTTTTAATAATTTTTCAAATGCAAATATAGTTATTTTATAGTCAATTTGCAGTTTATAAGGAAAGTATGTCTTTAAAAATGTCAAACTCTCAGCTCCAGATGGTCAGCGGCAGGTCCGCAAACAACTACCTACTGACAGAATACTACAACTACCTACTGACTTTATTTAGGCCAGACCATCTCAGGGTCTGCCACTGGATCTCATCTCTTGGATCTTTGTCGTTTAAAAGTTGATAAATAATTAACCTTGTGGTCCTTCACCTCCACATCATGCATTAGAATCCTTTAAGTGAGCATTTATGTGATGTATTGAGGTTCTAGGCCATTTAGTGATTTATAGACATGTAATATTACTTTAAAATCGATTTTGAATGTAACTGGCTCCCAGTTACAACCACCGCTGCTGGAATCAGCTTTCAAAAAATGTCCATATGTGCTCCAACATTAGGCACATTCAAACCAAGACTTAAAACACTGTTTCTGTCTAGTGCCAACAGATCACATTATTTTGTCTTTCTTTTCTTTTTTTATTTTAATTTTAACACATTTGAATCTGGTTTGATCTGTTTTTGATATTTTTTATTCTTATACTTGACTTTTTTATTCCTGTTTATGTAAAGTACTTTGAATTACCATGGTGCATAAAATGTGCTATATAAATAAACTTGCCTTGTCTTGTCTTTAACACACGGCAAGTTGGTGATTATCCTTTAATTAGAAAAACCAACTCAGACAATCTTTGACTTGGTATAGTTGTAGAAAGTTGTATGAAGAAATAACAAGATCCCATAATGCAAATCAAAAGCATAAATAAATAGGAAAACAATTAAATCAGAAACCAGAAAATATGGAAGCCTGCTAATTTACAAATATTTTTACAGTTAAGAAAGAAAATAAATACGCCAACTTTCACTATTTTTTTTAATTACAAATATGAAATAAAAACAAAAACAAACAAAAAAAACAATGAGCAAACCATAAACAAAAACAAAACATTAAACAAAAAAATAACACTAAACAAAAACAAACAAAATAAAACAAAAAACAACACAATGTTGAAATAACAACCTCTTTTTTCTAAAAAAAAATATATATATTAGATTACAATTCATAATAAAAAACAAACAACCAGAACAGAAAAAAGGGAGGACAGAAACATGAATCCAATTCCCCAACATCTTAATAGTCCTAACCTGAGGACTATTGAGAAACCATGTTTCTTTTTGTATGTTTACATGTGTGCATTTTTATTCAATTAAATTTAAAAGAGGGACAGAAGCAGTTTACTAATGTACTGTACATGCAGTACAATAGTAGGTTTCTGAGACATATGCAACTTTTTTGTTTTTCATTTAAGGTATATTGGAGTAAAACATGACCTGTGCATATTAATACGCTCAATATGAAGCCAGACGTCTAATGAAAAATCCATGGAATCTATTTATTATTTACTGCATGTCAGAGGAAAAACAACCAGACATAGAGCACCCTGGGAAAAGAGATGCATGCGGTGCTGTTCAAGCTATTTAAGAGCATGTGAATCATTTCTATGACACTGCGGATGACAAAGGGAAACATGTGACTCTGGTTACTTTGACTCAGTTTAGAATGCAAAAATAGTCACAAATGCTGTTTTACTTTTAAAGGAAATTTGGGAAAATTGAAAACAAAAATAATAACAATAACAAGCAAACATGTTTTTGCTTTTCTGTTGCGGACAATGAAGGAAAGCATTAATTACAGGCTTTTAATTCCACTGCACTAGGAGATAAGAACCCTACTATACAACTATTCCCCAAACTGACAAATGCATGCAAAAGACAGATTTTGCAAAACAAGAAAAAATAACACAAAGAGGGAGGCAGGTTACATGTCCAGTTTTCTTAAAAAATAAATAAATAAATCAAAATAAAAAGCAAAAAAAAAAAAAAACAAGCAACCAATCCAAAAACCCCAAAAAAGAAAACAAACAATCAAACTAAAAAAATATTTTGAAAAACATCAGATTACACAAAAAATGTGGGGTTATTTCAACCCAAAGTGGCTAAAATACAGACTAACCCAAAAATTTGACTGCATTTGGTCCTATTTAATAGATATAATCATATTTGATGTATTTCATAACAAATAAGCAAGTAGCTGGTTTCGTCTATATTTTACCCAACATTGTGTTGAAATAACCCAGCAATTTGTACACAAACTGAGTACACAAACAAAATAAATTAATCAATACAATTTAAAATCAAACCATACCAAAAAGGGAGGAAGGAAATAATGCTACAATAGTCACAATAATCTGGACATGGAGAAAGGACACTGCTATACCCCAAACTGACAAGCGAATACAAACCACAGCTTTTGCTATCAGTTTCATTCTGTGGTTTTGGGGTTTGCTCTGAATTTTGATGCTCAGGGCTTGTTTTGGCACAAATATATGGATGAAAAACTTTTTTAGAATGGACAATGTGTGGCTGAAGCATTTTTTTCAGCACCTTCTTATTTAAGATAATTTTCTCATGGGCTAAAGGAAATTATAGGGTTATAAATTGAATCAGTGATGCCAAAATTATTATGCATTTAAAAAAAATGTATATAAAACTGTAATGTGACTGAGATATACCTCTTGGGTTGGTGAGTGTGGCCTCCACAGCTTTGCCTCCGTCCCCACATCGAGTCTCGTCATATGGCAGACACTGATCTCCTGTTCCCGCCACCAGCTCCAGGTTTTTGGCCACATCTTTCACTGCATACAGAGACTTGACTTTGAACACCTTCCTGCTGCTGGTGTCCGAGAGGTACAGCCAACCTGAAACAGGACTGGTGGCCAGGTAATATTTGTGTGCAGGGCTGTTGCTAGAAAATAAACAAACAACAGGAAAGAAGTCAGTTGTAATGTAAATGAAAAAAACAAAACATTAATGTTTGGTAATATTAGTACATTAATACAGGAATATTTTTCACAGCAATTGGCCCTTCGCTAAACCCCTCCCTCCTTAGTTACTGCTGGATTTGAGCCAAAAATTAGCATCGTTGACCCATAACAATGTACAGTACAGGACCTATAACTCAGTATGTTTGTGTGCTTTTTATACAATTTCTATTCTAATACAGGCCAAAAAAAAAAGTCAAAATACACCAACTTTTTTTAAAATTACAAATATAAAAACAAAACAAAAAGAAAAGTTTTTAAACTTTACTTAAGTTTTGCTAGCAATACTAATAAAATGTATTAAATTCTTAAATGCAATAACGCCCGATCCACAAGGGGCTTCAGTGTTGCTTCAGTGTGTAAGCTTCACGGAGGTTAGGTCTGAAGTTGGGGTTGATGCATTCGTTATAGCTGCATCAGCCAATAAAAATAAGACAATCGGCTACTGCAATCGGCTACTATCTGAGCAGGAGTATTTGCATAAAGCGTTCTGATTGGCTGACATTTCCGCTGGCGTTTGAAAAGTTGAGAATTCACAACTTCTGCTACGATGGACCAAGAATTCGGTTAGACAAAAAAGGGAATGGGAAGCATTGATGCTGACACCGCATGCGAATGGAGTGTAAGCAATAAAATACAGGAGCATTTAAGCTTTTTTAGTTAAATCCACATTAATGTTAATAATAATAATAATAATAATAATAATAATAATAATAATAATAATAATAATAATAATAATAATAATAATAATAATACATTTGATTATTATTATTATTATTATTATTATTATTATTATTATAGTTAAAAAGTTTATTTCAATCTTGGCCCTTTAAAAAGTAAATAATCATTAAAAAGATGTATTTTATTATTTACATTAAAATAAAACACATTCTGTTTACTACAATTTATATAAAAAAAAAACAAAGTCAAATGACATTTAATAATGTTAAAAATAACTATAATAATAATAATAATAATAATAATAATAATTATTATTATTATTATTATTATTATTGTGGTTGTTGTTGTTATTATTATTTTTATTATTATAGTAAACAAGCAAATAAATAAATAAACAATTTTTGATTAATAATCAAAACTTGATGATTAAAATGTATTGAATTATTAAACCCAATAACGCAATAAAGTGCAGTAGCACTTGACATGGTAGCGTGCATCGCGTGTCAAATATAAACCCATGCATTAAAGCATCTTCAAAGATGGAAATTAGCAGTAAGAGATCAAGTGCATTTCACTGAACTGAGCTTGAGATGTCTCAGCCATGTCCTCTCCACATCAATCTTTTACTGTATGCATCCACTCTCAGTCTAAATATAGAAACACATGTAAGTGTGTGGTTAAAGCAGTCGGTCCAGCATCTAATGCGCTGCCAATGTGCATTCAAATATGCAACCAAACCCCCTGCAGGGACACTTCTTTCTGGACATGCATGCGGTCTACAGCCGTTATCTAAACACATTATGTATTCCTGGAGCCAAAATGGCCCACAGGCTGAAAAAAACAGTCCATTACACAGCAAAGCCGGACAGCCAAAGTCATACTTCGCAACCACACAGGGAGCAAAAGAACATGAAAGCCCAACAAAATGACTCCAATCAGGCTAGAGAGGGTCCCTGGTGGAAATATATAAATAAAGAAACTTCCAATCTGGAGGAAACAGACTGACTTTTTCATCGTTAATCAAATTCGGAGAAAACGATAAAGCCTATGCACTTGGTCTGCAATTTTACACTTTTCATGTTGATTTGTAATATGCTTTAATTTTACCCCACAGATGGCTTCATCTACTGTTTGGTCAAAGAGCAATTGCGGTGAAATGTGGGTGATTTGTGGCAATTGCATTGCTACGTGACATTTCAAGCTATTTCAAGCTCTTGCCATTTCTATCAGCTTTAGTACAGCGAAGAACATGGAATTACTGTACTGGCTGATTTGGTTTAATAGGTGCTACAGAAATGTGGTAATAAAATCTTCAGCACATGCTAAATGTTAGCATGAACACATTTTTTTCAGTTGTTCCTAACAGAAGAAAAAATAAATTGTTCTCGGATGTTGTAGTTTTTGAATAAAGTGCAAAAGCTCACAGAATGACAACAAAAATGTAAAGATGGCTAGATGCTGTGACACATATCAGCCAAATGCTACTATTGCTAAAAATCAGTGTTTAGCATTTAAAACTTTGCATGAACAGGAAAGGTCATCCAAGACATAAAAAAACGTTAACTGAACAATATATTCTTTGTAAAAATTGCCACATTGATACTGTGTTAGCATAGTATTGCTATGTATTGCTATGTATTGCTAGTATTGACTAGCTAATGCAATTTGACACACGTTTGCCAGATACCATCGTAGCAAACAACAAACTTGTCTTAGAATGTGTATTTGAAGCGAGAAAGGTCACGATAAGAGAACAAAATGTTAAGTGAAAAGCAGGGTTTTTTTTTGTTGCTATGACACATGCTGCTACAAATCATCACCGCTAACAGCTAACTTGTCAAAGGATCAGAATTTAGAACTGAGAAAGGTCACTGCACTTGAGCGAATATGTTAAGAGAACAATATTCTTTTTGTAAAAAGCACCACTTTACCGGGAATACAAGACTAGCATGCTCAAGATAACTAGACTTTACACATGCTATGACATATATCAGCTAAATAGCATCCTTGCTAACACCAAAAGGGTCTATTGATGCGAATTTAAAATGTAACAATGAAAGGTCACTGCGTGAGAACAAATATATTCAGGGACAAGTGCTCTTCATGAAACGACTAGCCTAAGTGACAGCTACAACCCATTTCCGCTAAATACCATCATTGCTAAATTTCCGCTTGTCTTGAATGCACATTAGAGACCTTCCGAAATGACAATGTGGAAACCAAGAAAAGCATTATGCAGAAAATATTCATTGTAAAAGCAGCCGGCAATGGTTCCCAGAACCGCTTTGTTTTGGGCTCCCAGATCAGTTTTCAATACAATGTAAGAAAGCAAGATAACAATCCATTTATTCATTCATTCAATCACTCATTCATTCATTCATTCATTTTTCTTTGGCTTAGTCTCTTTATTCATCAGGGTCGCCACAGTGAAATAAACCGCCAAATTTTCAAGCATATGTTTTAATGCCCTTAAACCTTCAACCCAATACTCAGAAACATCCATACACACTCATTCACACACATCCACTATGGCCATTTTAGTTTATTCACTTCACCTGTACTGCATGGTTTTGGACTGTAGGAGAAACCAGAACACCTGGAGGAAACCTACACGAACACGGGGAGAACATGCAAATTCCATACTGAAACGACCAACTGAACCAGCCGGGACTAAAACCAAATACCTTCTTGCTGTGGGGTGACTGTGCTAGCCCCTGAGCCATTGTGTCAAAAGACAATAATAGAGTTCAACACACAAAACTCCATCGTTGCTATTAAACGCAGTTTGACACGTTAGCATTGAAGTAAAAATGGTCATTAAAAACAGTTAAATCGTTCAGCATTAATGATTTTTTTTAAACGACTTGTCTGATTAAATACTGCCTATACAATAAAACTCTTAACTACCTAAACTATTCTACAGCCAGGTTTACAACAAAATGTAGAGCAAGTCTTTTCAAAGTTCAGGAAAAATGAACAAAATCCTAAATGTGAATTAGTGTGTTTCCATCAAGATTGTATTACTGGCAGTGTTGAGCAAGTTACTTGGAAAATGTACTGAAAATGTACTAATGTAGCTTGACTACATTAAAAGCTACCTCCTGGGAAATGTAGGAGGCAAAGCTAAAAGCAACAAGGGCAAAGTAGCTTAGCTATAATCTAAGCTATTTTTAAATGAATTTTATTAAATCAAAGGAAATTCAATCTAAGCCAGTCAGTCTTAGTAACCAATAAAACTGTCAATGAAGCACGTGGCATAACTGTAAAGTTCTTTTTTTTTTTTTTACTGCAATTAATATGCTGTTCTAAACAGACACAAATTTTACAAATCTATTCAGTTGAAGTCAGAATTATTGGAGCCCTTTAAATTTTTTTTATTATTATATACATTTTTTATTTCCCAAATGATGTTTAACAGAGCAAGGACATTTTCACAATATGTCTGATAATATTCTTTCTTCTGGAGAAAGTCTTGTTTCATTTTGGCTGGAATAAAAGCAGTTTTCAATTTTTTAAACCCAATTTTAATGTAAAAATTATTAGCCCCTTTAAGTTATATGTTTTCGATAGTCTATAAAACACACACACACACATATATATATATATATATATATATATATATATATATATATATATATATATATATATATATATATAAATTCATTATTTCCCAGAGATGGGTTGTAGCTGGAAGGGCATCCGCTGCGTAAAAACTTGCTGGATAAGTTGGTGGTTCATTCCGCTGTGGTAACACCGGATTAATAAAGGGACCAAGCCGACAAGAAAATGAATGCATGAATGAATATATTTATTAATTCAATTACCCGACGTCGCCACAGACCACAGCAAGAGGTGGCAGTAACTCACCAAAAACTTTGTTTTTTAAACACGATATAACACAAAGAATAATTCACCATTCTCGCTATCATGTGGATTTACTTTCATCAGCCAGACACTGGCTTCACAGCTCCATGATTTGCAGTGGCTTCACTTAATGATGGGTAAATGTATCTTGTGTGGACACTACTGTGCTACTTGCTTAAAATAATAGCTTCGCTACTAAAATCTATTCGTTTTAGAAAGTGGCCATGCTACCGCCACACTACTGAAAAATGTAGTTAAGCTAGTAGCGTCACTACTTGTAGAGAAGCTATTGCTCAACACTTATTACTGGTAACCTAGTAACCAAAAAATTAACTAGACACGCCTAATGTGTAATGTGTAATGCTTGACACATCAGAGT